TAGTCCAGAGGATATAATACATGATATATAATGTAACAAACAACAAGACCAGGTCCAGAGGATATAATACATCATATATAAAGTAACAAACAACAAGGCCAGGTCCAGAGGATATAATACATAATATATAAAGTACCAAACAATTATACCAGGTCCAGTGGGTATAATATGTAACATATAAAGTACCAAACAACCAGACCAGGTCAAGTGGATAAAATATATGAAGTACCAAACAGCTAGACCAGGTCTAGTGGATATGATACATAAAATAAGAAATACAAAACAACAAGACCAGATGTAGTGAATATAATACATAATATATAAAGTAACAAACAAAAAGACCAGGTCCAGTGTATATAACACATACTATATAAAGAATCAAACAACAATACCAGGTCTAGTGGTAAAATAATATATATATAAATATAAAGTGCCAAGTAACAAGACCAGATCCAGTGGAAATAATACATCATACATAATGTATAAACAAACAAGACCATGTTCAGTGTATAAAATATATTAAGTACAAAACAACATGATTAGGTCCAGTGGATATAATACATCATATATAAAGTACCGAACAACAGACCAGGTCTAGTGGATATAATACATAATATATAAAGTACCGAACAACAGACCAGGTCTGGTGAATATAATACATCATATATAAAGTACCGAACAACAGACCAGGTCTAGTGAATATAATACATCGTATATAAAGTACCAAACAACAAGACCAAGTCGAGTGGATAGTATATTTTAAGTACCAAACAACTAGACCAGGTCCTGTGGATATAATGCATTATATATAAAGTACCAAACAACTAGACCAGGTCTAGTGGATATAATCCATCATATATAAAGTACCAACCAACAAGATCAGGTCCAGTGGATATAAAACATAAGATATAAAGAACCAAACAACATGATCAGGTCCATTGGATATAATACATAATATATAAAGTACCAAGCAACAAGACCCGGTCTAGTGAATATAAAACATAAGATATAAAGTACCAAACAACATGATCAGGTCCAGTGGATATAATGCATAATATAGAAAGTACCAAACAGCTAGACCAGGTCTAGTGGATATAATACATAATATATAGTGTACCAAACAACAGACCATGTCTAGTGAATATAATACATCATATATGAAGTACCGAACAACAAGACCAGGTCCAGTGGATATTATATACAAAGTACCAAACAACTAGACCAGGTCCAGTGATTATTATACGTAATATATGAAGTACCAAACAACAAGACCAGGTCTAGTGGATATAATCCATCATATATAAAGTACCAACCAACAAGATCAGGTCCAGTGGATATAATACATCATATATAAAGTACCAAACAACAAGACCAGGTCCAGTGGATATTATATATAAAGTACCAAACAACTAGACCAGGTCTAGTGGATATAATACATCATATATAAAGTACCAAACAACAAGACCAGGTCTAGTGAATATAAAACATAATATATAAAGTACCAAACAACATGATCAGGTCCAGTGGATATAATACATAATATATAAAGTACCAAACAACAAGACCCGGTCTAGTGGATATAATACATCATGTATAAAGTACCAAACAACAAGACCCGGTCTAGTGGATATAATACATCATGTATAAAGTACCGAACAACAAAACAAGGTCTAGTGAATATAATACATCATATATGAAGTACCGAACAACAAGACCAGGTCCAGTGGATATTATATACAAAGTACCAAACAACTAGACCAGGTCCAGTGATTATTATACGCAATATATGAAGTAAAAAACAACAAGACCAGGTTTAGTGGATATAATACATAATATATAAAGTATAAAGAAACAAGACCATGTTCAGTGGATATAATACATCATATATAAAGTACCAAACAACAAGACCAGGTCCAGTGGATATTATATATAAAGTACCAAACAACTAGACCAGGTCTAGTGTATATAATACATAATATATAAAGTACCAAACAACAAGACCAGGTCTAGTGAATTTAATACATAATACATAAAGTACCAAACAACATGATCAGGTCCAGTGGATATAATACATAATATATAAAGTACCAAACAACAAGACCCGGTCTAGTGGATATAATACATCATGTATAAAGTACCAAACAACAAGACCCGGTCTAGTGGATATAAGACATCATGTATAAAGTACCGAACAACAA